AGCTAGACCCGGTTTTATGTTGCAACCGGTTTAAACCGAATTTAAATCGATTTACGCCAAACCGGTTCCAACCTCTAATACGAGGAATGTGTAACAGATAATAAAACTTTTATTGGCAATTTTTTAAGATAACCTATCCCAGAAATTTAGTGACATTATAACCTATCATTTTTTTGGCAAAAATTTATGACCAATGTTATGATATCATGTGTAATTTTTGATTAGAGCTAATTTTGTAAATAAAATTTATGCATAGTATTTCTGGCTAATTTTTTAGCAGATCTTCTATCTGTGATATATCATGAAACTTGCATATGAATTTATTTTTTTCTTCTCTAAAATTCTTTGAATTTCTCTTTCTCAGATTTTTTTTACTATTTATAAAATAATTAATATGATAATACCATCTTTTCATGTATATTATTTAAAGCAACTTAACCAGCTTACTCAATCTATCAAAATAAATATATAGTAACATCTTATATCTTAAAATACACATTATTACTAGAACAGACAAGTAGTATTCATTCCAAAGTGAAAGATTTGTTAAATCAAGTTGTCAAAAATTATATTAAGAAAAAAGAGTGACAGAAATGAAGTCTAATACCAGCAAATATGAAAATTTGTTAAGCCAAGAGAATGAAAAGTTGTGTATATTGAAGTAAGAAATGAAAAAAAATTGAAGACCTTAGTAATTTGCAAGACAAAAATAAAATCACATGAGCAAGCTATAGCCAAGTCTTTAGAGAAAAGTGGTAAAAAAATTACTTAATTAAGCTCTTCAATTACCTTTTTCAAAGACATAATTCATAATACAAATAAAGCTATTATATCAGCTCAAAAGTCTATTGACATGCTAAAGAACAAATGTTGATTTTGAAGGATATTATTTCTGTTAAAGATAGAAAAAATATCACTCTGATTGATCAGATTCTTTTCAATATGAAGCATAGTGATATGACTATAAAGCTAGAAATATATTCTAGCATCTATGAAAGAAAATTATGAGCAAAAATTCGTAGCAAATCTGAATATAACCTAAAAATTTATAAAAAATATACATTTTAATCTACTCAGTCATATAGTTTATAAAAGCTAAAAAATATAGAGAGCGGGTTAATGCAAATAAATAATTGCACTAGAAGATTGAGGATCTGAAGATACAGATACAGGAAGTGAAAAAAAACTGGTATCATTGAAATTAGTTCTTTAAGGAAATGATTTCAGATAATTCTATTCTTTAATAAATGCTATATTCTAATCCTTTCATATTCTGTGTAGATAGTTTTGAGATACTATTAAATCAAAGACAATAAAATTTTAATCACACAAATAGTTATTGATATCAGTATATATACTGCATCAATCATTAGCATATATGCAGAAAATAAATACCTTTTTAACATTGAATATTAATATTTCAAAGTTTACTTGTTAGCTATTAAAAAACAAAGATTGATGAGATTAATTTATAATTTTTAATAAATAATTTAAAATCATTTCTTACTCTCTGATGAATTTCTCCTTCATAATAAACTATCTGTTTATTCTTCTTATTATATTTTTTAAAAATTCCTTGTATTCTTCAATAAAGAACTTATCAGTCATTTTTCTTATTTCTTCTTGTGTTAGATATATTGATGTATTTTTGCAATCTTTGGAATAATTTTCTAAAAAGTTTATTAATTAGAATAGTTAGCATTATACAGTCAACCCTTGATATAACGAATTTTATGTCCTGAACTTCAACTTCGTTATAGAGCTATAGTGAACTTTTTAAAGAATTTGATTGGCTAGTTCGTTATAACGAGGGTAAATTTAATATAGTTGTCCAAAAAATTCGTTATATTAAAATTCGCTATAGAGAGGTATGACTGTATATATTTATAACTTTTCTTACTTTACTTCCACCAACTTTTTAAACACATACATATTTTAATTGTTTCTGGTTTCAAGCTACACCTTCTATTTGTAATTAACTCTGTACCTCCAGAAAATATTCTTTCAACTAGAATACTTGAACCTATTAATATAATAAATAATTAAATTCAAAAAATTATAAGTATTTTTAATATATATTAAATAATATACCAGGAATTGCTAAATAGTCTCTAGCCATTTTTGATAAATTTGAAAATTCTCTTTCATGTAACTATAAAATAAAATAAAATTTATTATTATATATAATTAATAAAACATTAAATATTAAAATTTTACCTTTCAAAATGTTAAAATATTTGCATTAAAATTTATTGGCTTACTATTTAAATATGTATCAAGTTCATCATTTTGAATTAATTTTCTTTTTTAAAATATATGAGCCATTAATGCATTTGAATGTACATTATCTAAACTATCAATTGATTGATAATTTCTTTCATTTTGACCTGATATATATTTATCTTTCCATAATTTTTTAATTTGTTGCTTATATAATTGAATATATTTATCTTCAAAAGCATTATCTTTATAAAAACTCATTTTAAAATATGAATTTATAACTAAATAATAAAATAAAAATTGTTAATATTTTATTTATTATAAAAACACAAAAAATATATTTACTTGTTGAAATTATATATACAAATCCATCTAAACTTAGATAATATTCTTGTAATTTATTTTTTGCAAAATTAGCAGCTTCAATAATATTAATTAAATGTTTACTTTCAAGAAATTCTTTAATATAAATAATTATATATTGAAACTGTTTGACTAAGTGTAGAATAATTTGAATTGCTTATTTCAAGAGTAGCTAATTTAAAGCATTAAAAAATAAATGAAATTAAATTATATTTTTTAAAAATTAAAAATTTTAATATTATATACATATATTTATATCTTATTTATATAAATTTTGCAAATATTTATTATTATTATTTTTATTATTATTTAATATATATTGTGAATATTTAATTATTTTTTTATTTTTATATTGCGAACAATAAATTTAATTATTAATAAAAATAATTTCTGATAAAATAAAATTTTTTACTAATTTTAAGTATAATAATAA